TGATGTCTGATGGTCCGAGTCCACATCTAGGGATGAAACCGCCATAAGGCGATGATCTATCCTGCCTTGGCGAAGTCCTTCGGCGAAGGCTGTACATTTAGGTTCTTTCGCTAGCGAAGGCTGTACATCTAGGTCCTTTCGCCGCAGCGAAGGCCTTAGCGAAAGGCTGTACATCTAGGTCCTTCGTCAAGGTGGTCCGTGACTTCTTCGCCCGAAGGTGACATCGTCCTGGCTGCTACGTTGGCGGGGGTGCCTCTGGGGTGCTGTCACGTTGGAGCCTTCGCTGAAAACTTCGGACCCTGCTACCGCGAGATATTGGTCCTCCATGATGTTCATAATTTGTAGCATCATGTCTTCTGGGATGGTCTGCGGCGAGGTCGTCGGTGCTTTATCTGCGGTGTTAATGGAGAGGGTCCACGGAAAATCGTCCGACATCAGTGTAGAGGCATCAGGCTGCATGGTGATCTCTGCTGATGTCGTTGTAGCTAATCCCGGTGCGTTTCTTGTGGCGATACGTCGGGTATGATGATCAGCTGATCATCGTAGAGGTCCAGGTCATCGGCTGGAACAATCTCGGTTGAGAAAGTCCTAGTAGACTTCGTTGATTTTCCCTCAGAGGTCGGCGCTGCCCTGGGTGTCGCGGCGTCTGCGTTGAGTGTTGGTAATGATGGGACCCTCAGGACGATCATCGGCATATCTCGCGTTGGTACATCAGGCTGCATGCTGATCTGTGCGACATCGGTCAATCTTTGATGTACATCGGTATGATGACCGGCTGATCATCATACAGGCCCAAACCCGATGGGGAGCGGTCTCGGTTGTTGAGATGTAGTAGAAAACCCTCTAGTCTTCTGCTGCGACGATGGGATGTCTGGGGAAGCAGAATGCTTCTTGAGATGGCGGATCACGCCCCACACCTCTCCACCACTCTAGCGAACACCACACGGGAGGAGTCGGCCAACAGCAGTAGACTGGCGAGGGTTCCGATGTATCAGTCATACTAGACTCTGCATCGCGACCTATCTGCTGTAGCGTGCCAAAGCGCAAAGTAAATATTAATAAAGAGGTAGAATTGGATAAATTAGTACCGCAACTGCAATGTGAATATAATAAACATGGCTAGCCGTACATCATATTAAAGGTGGATCAGCAGCAGCATAAAAGCGTAATCTGCAATAGTACAGAATTTTTATCAACGTAATCCACTGAAACAAACACGGCGTCCGTGAATAACTGTAGAAAAAGCGACTAAATATCAATATATAATCGTTGAAGGATACTAGCTAAACCTCTATAGATGTCTATCACGAGGTAACTAACTAAATATAATCAAAGGATATAGTGTGTCGGGAGACACAGGCGCTCTCACGTCCAGCTCACTGGGCGAAGAAGGAGAGAGTGAGGCACATGGGTAGAGGTGGCGCCCTCGTTCCCGAGCTTGTGGAAAGGAGGTAACTCGTGGTGAATACTAATTAGTGATTTTAAATTGAAGGGAGCTTCAATTAGGGAGATACAAGTGTTCCACTATGTTCGCAAGAAGAAGAAGACAAGCAAAAAGAGCATGAGTCAGGATAAGGAAAAATATTATATACCATAAAGTCAGTTAAGGATTGAAGTAATATTTGTTGAAAGAAGACAAAGAAGTGGTGAGTGAGTGACTGAGTTTAGTTTTATGCCACACTCAGCAATATTCCAGCTATCTGTAAATAATCCAATCTGGACCAGACAATCCTGTGATCAACAGCATGAGCATTGATCTGCGCAATTGGGAACCGATGACATGTGTCAACCAAGTCAGCGAGCCTGACCACCCGATCCCGTTAGTCGCTTCCTACGACATGCATAGTCGCATTTTATGGCAAGCATGGGTTGCTGAAGACCTATTCTACCCTGGATCTTCACGGGTCACAAAGAAGTGGAGGACCACCTTGATACTACTACAGTTATTCTGTTTTCAAGGTTATGACAGATCAACTATCCCAAAGCGAGCTGAATTCGACGTTCTGGATGATTGCATTGCTCGCGCTATATCGGGGGAGTTCGTGCACGATCGGAGTGCACAAGCAGTCTCACTGTCGTGAGATGTTTTATTGACAATGAAAATCCGGAAGTTAAGTTATATAAAAAGCAAACAAACATCAATATTATTTACCCGAGATTGTTAATACTTCAGATGCAAAATAATCAATTGCCTATATAACAAGAAATAGTAAGCAAAATTTCAGTAAGATCAGTCGTCTGCTAGTGACAGGCAATATATAAATAGGAAGCCACTTGATCACAACACTCCCTCGCAGTGCGGAGCGAAAAGTATGGCTCATCGTCGAAAACCCATACAAAATACCCGGATGTGGAGAACGCTATTTTGGTAGGGAACACTTGATATTTTCGCGTGAATTAGATGAATATATTCTTTATCACTCAGGGTTAGTAAAATAGAAACTTTAAATGACATGATAAAAAATACGGTTTTGTCTTACATCATCGAAAACCCCTGACACTGGGATATAATGATATGAAAGAAATGACTAGCTTAACTTTTTTAACTCATTGTATGAATAATCAAGTCTGGACAAGACAAGTTGTTGATTGATCATTGATCCATGCAGTCTGTGTTAGGGCTGGGACGGGTTCAATTTCTACCCGGGTACCCCACCCACTATTACCCTACCCTGATACCCGTAACGTTAATTCCTGACATCAAATTGTAAGAAATGGCAATATTTTCTTCAGCTCGGAGGCTAAATTTTCGAGTTTTTCAATATCTTAACCATGTATTACATTCAAAACAGGTGACTGTAAATTTTAACAAATCTTCAAAAACAATACAATCTTTTAATCACGAAAGAATAACATATTACATTGAAGTCCAAGATATTTTTTATGGATTAAACTTCTTTTTTTAATTTCTCTCAGCGTTTGAGACCATTCCAGGTCCCTTCATCAGGTGAACTCACCTGATGAAGGGACCTGGAATGGTCTCAAACGCTTGTGAGAGAAATTAAAAAAGAAGTTTAATCCATAAAAAATATCTTGGACTTCAATGTACAACTTCTAAATGCCACTGAAAGACAACATATTACATTGTTTAATCTATGATTAGTCACATCATGATCATAACGGGTCCCGGTATTGAGACGGGTAAACGGGTCCAACTCATTACCCACCCATCCCAGGTATCCCATCACAGCACTAGTCTGTGTACAATGACGCGAGGATGTAAAACTTCACTGATACCTATGATGATGCCCTTGTTTCTCAGGTACACATGATAATTGGATCCCAAGTTTGGTTGAACACACAGTGTTAATAGAGGATGCACTTAAGCAAATTTTGGGTTTTGAAAAGTCCTTGAAATAAAAAAACCCATGGTGTTGACCATGTATTTATGTAGCGAAAGAGTATTATTTCAGTGATTTCATGATTTCTTTCTATATGGTGAGGTGTATTGTGATACCAGTGGTATGGTCTGTTCATATCATGACAAGTATCGCATCACAAGATCTCAGGTGATACTCAGCTCTAAATGACACAACATAAGCAAGACATTTGTGTGGCTCTTACCACCCAGGGCCTAGATTTTCGAAGCTCTCTTAGAGCTAAGATAGTCGTAAGTTAATGTTAATGAATGGCACTTACGACTATCTTAGTGCTAAGAGAGCTTCGAAAATCTAGGCCCAGAATCCTCCGGTCAACCTTAGAAAGATAATTCCTCGGAATAGCATTCATATTCACAACCATGGCTGGTATTTTCAACTGATAGCCACAGATAAAGTTATAAATATTTGTTACTGATAACAGTTACTTTATGACAAATTGATGTTAAACAATTATAGAACTGTTATCATGTTTTTCACTTTGGCATGTGAGTTTAGTTTTACTCTGATACTTCTAGTAACATCTCAAAATGGGGGCACCAAACATTGAATTCTTATAAACATAGGTGAAATTCACTGTTCAATATCGTAAAAATTTTACTTACATTTTGCACATTTTTGTCAAAATTTGACTATTTAATGTTTTCTTTTTACGTTTTCATTTGTGTCAATCAATAACTTGAACACCTATCAATGACTGTAGCAAAGTTAGTTTATTATTTTCATAAATAACACGTTTAGACGTGTTTTGTGTGACATGCAGAATTTCCCTGTCTGACAGTGTCTGTGATGAGGCAGTCACGCGAATGAGTGACCCCCTCTCAGGTAGTCACTCGTACGCGTAACGGGGGACCGTCTCGCGTACACGTTACGTCCTCTACTGATAAAGTACCTGGGAACACAGATCTTAGGTAAGACGAACAATCCAACCACAATACTAGGCTACCTGACTGCCAAGATGAAAATGGGATGTGAATAAGCTACATGCCACAGCTTTAACCATATTAACACTAGGCAATCCAACGGAGGTTGAAGATGAAGACGGTGTGAGTGAGTATGTTTTTCGCCGCTTTTAGCAATAGTCTAGCAATATGAAGGAGGGAACACCAGAAATAGGCTTCAGACATTGTACCCATGTGGGGAATCAAACCCAGGTCTTGATGAGCACTGACTAGCAGACACTTTAACCATTAGGCTGCCCCACACTCCCAGAAGAAGATGGACATGAGCAGTGTTGAGATGTATATATGTACAGTTGACGCAATACGTGGAGCACGGTGGTGTAGTGGTTAGCATGCTGGCCTCTCACGCCAAAGGCCCGGGTTCGAATCCCGATGGAGACACCAAAATTTGTGACCTGGGTCTCATACTGTGTTGTGTCCCTGGGCAAGGCACTTCACCCACTTTGCACTCAGTCCACCCAGCTGTTCAAAATGGGTACCTTAGAAATGGATGTACGGACCTATACGGTCGCGCGGAGCGCTTAGTAGCAACTTTGAAAGTACAATTCTGTCAGGGTAATAATGTAACGCCAGAGAGCAGCATTGTGTTGGATTCTAGGCACAAAAATTAGCATCATTATTATTATTAATACGTGCAAGGCATAAACTAAATTCCACTTACCTTGGTTTCATTGCTGAGAAAAATGTTGGTATCTTGCTGTCAATTGCATCCTTAAAATCCTCCAAGCCATCATGTTCTTCTGAGTTTGCTTTATGCTTCAATGATAACACTGGCTTTGGTTGGGTATCTGAACTGTCACTCACACCAACAGAATTCTCTGATTTGTCAGCACCATCTCCTGACTCCTCCCTCACAGGTTCTACTTCATATATCACATTAGAGTCTGAATTGATTGAGCGTGGTCGAATTGTTCCGTTGGTGAGCTCGGACTCGGAGAAGGAACTTTCTGAGCCAGATCTTGGTCTTGTACGAGGTCGTAAAGGTGTAACACCATCATAAGAGTTCATTGGAGACAATTTGGGATGTACTGACCTGAGACAGATGAATGATAACAAAATGGTGTACAGCTCTCATGATTGTAGTGACTGTTGTCTAATGATGACTTTCATTATCAATATCTAATGTACTTGATATTTATATACTTATCCCACATCACATATAATGCAATCTCTTAATATTGAACCAAAGCATTATTCCAACAGGGATTTCTCACAGAGAGAGAATGCTTCTATAAATGAATTGGCTAATCAGACCTGCCACCAAGCATTACATGACAAAGTAGCAGTTTTATGGATTACAAATTCTTTCATATTCATACAGAGATGTATGCCATAAATCCTTATACCATCATCAACGAATCAGCAGACTCTTTCAGTGTTGTCACAACCCCTAGTGTACAGTACAGAACTCTGTGCACTTAAAAGAACCCACGAATTCGTTAGAGCTGGTATTGGCATACAACCTGTGATACGATACATGACGATATTATAATTTTAGTCACGACGATATATTGCTTTGCCAAAGTATTGTGCACTGAAGCTGCGATATGATTCGAATCCCGATACTAGAATCTTTAATTCTAACACTAACTGTAAAACACCTTAAGATCAAAACAAAACCATTATAAAGTATTTGGTCAAATTCTGCCAGCGTTTTTTAATGTTCATTCGGTAACGAGATAATTAAGTTTATACACAGACTTTGTGAATGTTAAAACATGCGAGTGCAATGTCTGACACAGTTCTTGAAACAAGAATTTCTGAAAAAACGTTTACTTATGAAGGGAAAATATTTTAATCATCAAATAAAAGTAAGTCCTTTTTCTTGACAGATATCGCGATTCGGCAATGTTCAAAGAGAAACATCGATGTATTGTGTGGCCCATTTGAAGTATCGTATTGGGATATATGACAATGTAAAACTTTGTATCGATTCACTGTATCAGTGGCCCATGGATCGATGCATCGATGCGTATCAATGAATTGTCACACCACTAGAATCCGTTGGTATATGACCAGATGGTGGCCACATGAATACATACAAACACCTAGTTGCGGGTACAAAACGTGCAGTAAACTTGGACAAAGTACTGTGACTATGTGTCCCAGTCCACCCAGCTGTGAATGGGTACCCCATAAGGATGGGAAAGCCGCAATAACTTGGTGCACCTTGTGGGAGTTGAGGGAGTTGAGTTTGATAATAAGATGTGCCGTTGAGATTGTCATCCAATGATCGAGGGAAAAAATACCAGTGCCTTGAGCATGCACTAGTGCGTGAATATGTGCGCTATATAAATATCCAATAATAATAATAATAACAGTATAAGAATCTGTATCAAAACATCACCATATAAATATCCAAGAAGCTGTCATCCGTACAATTGCTACTTTGTCATTACTGCAATTCTAAAGACTTCTAAACATCAAACAACCTAAGGATTACATGAGTGAGTGAGTGAGTTTAGTTTTACGCCACTTTTACCAATATTCCAGCAATATCATGGCAGGGGACACCACAAATAGGCTTCAAACATTTTCCCATGTGGGGAATCCAACCCGGGTTTTCAGCATGACCACTAGGCTACCCCATCAGCCCTAAGGATTACATGATTCAAGCTGCACAGGACACTTTCACATTCCAAAATCATGCACATGCCGACCAAACCTGACAAAATTCAGAAGTGATGACAAAGCAAATAACGTACATATTAACGTATGAAATTACAGTGCTGAACAGAGAATACTCAGTGTCAGAGTACCTCATGACAGTAGTGATGTGTGCAGCTTAGGTCACATGAAACTCCATGGTAGTCATATTTGTTCAATTCATTGATGGCAGTGTGCTCTTTGGGTGTGAGATACCGTATCATGGTGATGGAATTATGTGTGCAAATCAAAAGATTGCATTATTGGAAATGTAGATAAGTAAAATATCACCTACATGTATAATAAAGCAGCTGGTAAATACCTGAATCTCAGCAAAGCATACCACAGAGTCAGGTCTACAGCATGAGCATTCATCTCATCCAGGTGATACATTGTACATTGAACCCCAGGTGTTAACAGCTAAGACAAGAAGCAAGTTACTACCGGGTACCAGTTCATTTAAGGAATACCCACAAGGACGGCTCTTATGCATATTTGAAATATTCATTACAAAGTTTATACAAAAAGTTATTACTTAGAGACAGACCATTTGATTTTGAAATACTTACTTTACTGGTATGCTGCAGATCACATTAACAGCATCATGTGGTACATCATAAAATGTATTTCATATTTAACTCAGCAAAAATCAATAATCTAATGATACTTCAAACACAATTCAGACACTTACTTTTCAACAGAGTTGGACCTTGAAACATTCCTTGATCCCTAGAAGAACAAATTTCACTTCATGTAGAAATCCACTATCATGGTGACATGGTATAACTAACAGTGACAGCTGAGAGTTTTCCCAACTGACACCCAGCATTAACAGCCATTGTCGCTGACTGATACTCCATTTTCACGTCTGGACTGACAATTTGTTTGTTTTGTTGTTTAAAGCTGTAGTCAGCAATATTCCAGCTATATGGTAGCAGCCTGTAAATAATTGTGTCTGGACCAGACAATCCAGTGATCAACATCATGAGCATAGATCTATGCAACTGGGATACGATGACATGTGTCAACCAATTCAGCGAGCCTGACCACCTGATCCTGTGAGTTGCCTCTTACAACAAGCATGGGTTGCTGAAGACCAATTCTAACTCAGAGACTTCAGTAGTGAAAGTGTATTGTAAGAAGATCTTGTAATTGGCAGTGGTTGCTTTGTTTCAAAGATGCTGAGCGTTAAAAAGGAACATTTTGTGAGTGAGTGAGTGAGTTTAGTTTTATGCCGCTTTTAGCAATATTCCAGCAATATCAAAGCGGGGACACCAGAAATGGGCCACATTGTACCCATGTGGGGGACTGACAGGAATGCATAAATGAGGGAGCATGGTTTAACCCTGTCTCAAAATGTAATTTTCTGAATAAAATTGATATTTTATACTTATCCTGACTCATGCTTATTGCTTGTCTCCCTTTCCTTCCAAATGCTAGTGGAACACTTGAATCCCCTTTTGAAGCTCCCTTCAAAAAAGCGGACGTAAAATCACTTACCAGGAGTCACCTCCCTTCCCAGGTTTTGGCGGGAAACGGCGCCACCTGTCTCCCATGCTCTTCACTCTCTCCGTATTTTATAGCCCGACACACTGATTTACTGGGAAATCCAGAGTGCCTTGTGGGGAGGTTGGGCGGGCTTACCTCGTGAGTCAGGATAAGTATAAAATATCAATTTTAGTCAGAAACTTACACATTTTTCCTTATCCTGACTCATGCTTATTGCTTGTAGAATCTGACGGTATAGGTGGTGGGTCAAGCCACCTCTGGATTCCTTAGTGATGAATTTACATCCTATATACCCCCATGGGAACTTTAAATGGCACTGCTGCTGTTGATCCATATGTCGAAATAATTTGGTAATTTGGGGGGACCACAATATATCAAACTCTTCTGTAACCGTACATGTGGATTTAAATAACTCCAACTCTTGATGTTCGTATCAAGTGGAGTAGTGACCCTATCCATGTACAAGTAATTCCTTACAAGTTCAGGGTCCAATATTCATGCTAGTCTGTTCTAGACGCGTGTACATGGACTATAAGCTCTATTCCTTGGAGTACTGAGCTTTGCATGACATCTTGGTAAAAGGGCGAGATACACCTCAGCGCCTTTGAGGGACCATCAGCTGTTGAGCTACAAACAGAGGCCCAAACTGGTGGATACCGGAGACGTCCCTGGTAGCAATGTCTCTGAGGTAGTGGTTAGCAAATACTGTCTCCGATTTCCAAAACCACCCTTCCATGATCGTGGATATTGAGCAGTTTCCATGTAGAGCGAGTGTAGATGCCAGTGCTCTAACTTCATGTGGATTGGAGGCTCGAGGAGGCTCAAGTCCTGCTGCCTTGTAGGCTCATAGTGTGATTGCTCTCATCCAAACTGATATCGTAGTACGTGAGATCTCTGAAGGTGTCTCCGACGATATGGGGATGAAAAGGCGTTTGAATTTTCGTCTCCTGGTTTTAGACTTTTGTAGATATATTTTCAGAGCTCTGACTGGACATAAGGATAAATCTTGTATATCCTGTGGACCAAGGATTGTAGATAATGCTGGGATGTGGAATTGTCGTCCGGTTGACCTGGCAGTTGATTCTTAGCTATGAAATCCCACCTCAATCCTAGATGAACCATGTTGTGGCGTGTGTCAAAAGCGTATTCGTTCAAGTCCAAGCATGTATTTCTGACATCTGTGCCGCGGTTGCCAAAGGCGATCAGAAATAGCGTTTCCTGTGTAAGAAATTAAGTAAGAAGTTCTTTCTAGTGGTTCGCACACATCACTGGTGAGATGTAAGTAACACCTGCGTTGAGATCCCAAGCCCGGCGCTTTAAATTTCCTTTGTTGGTCTTCCAGTTTAAAAGAGCGTAGCAAGGCCAGTAACTCTGGCACTTTCGTCAGTTTCACGCCTGTCTTCATAGTGATAACTGAGCTGAGAGCCGCTAGGTATGTAGATAATGTCGAACCTTTTAATTTCTTCATTTGTCTGAGATGACAAAGATATTCCGCCACTTGAGGATGTGTTGCTTTCACTGCAGTGAAACCTTTCCTCGATGCATATTTCTCAAAGCTTAGCCACTTGTCGTCATACAAGTTACGTGTAGACTGCTTAAAGCTAGTGTGGCTGAGTATCCTCTTCGACAAGCAATTCATGATCTTTCCGACAAGTGTAGGTGGAATAATCTGGGATACTTGTGAACTTGCTTGGTGTGAGGATGAATTAGTAGGTTCGACCAAACTGGAAGTTGTATTGTTGGTTTTCGATTTCTTGTAAGAGAACAGGAAGCCACGTTCTTGCTGGCCAGTAAGGGCAACCAAAATCAGTTGTAGATTGTTTGTCTGCCTGATTTTCTGTAATACCTGTGGTATTAGCGCTGGCGGAGGAGGCGTTTAGTCCTTCCATGGGATGCTTAGAGCGTCGCAAGCCCATGCATGGGAACTTCGAATGTTGCCAGTTGATTGTTGAATCTTGTGGCGAATAGGTCTACGATTGGAGATCCTATAGTCTGTATGATGCATCTGAATGCTTGTGGATGTAACATCCATTCTGTTGGGGATGGTTGATGTGGTGAGTGAGAGATAAGCATCTGCTATTACATTCCTGGCTCGAATGTGACATGCTTTCACATAAATGTTGAGATTATCTATTATGTTGAATAGTTGAAAGCTGAGGTCTAGAAGATTCCAAGATCTTGTTGATCCTTGTTTGTTTATGTAGAGCGCCACTGTTGAGTTGTCCATTATGGATCATCAATTTTGGCGTTTCTTAGTATGTTGGACCAATGTAGTAGGGCATTTACTACTGCTTTCATCTCGAGCATGTTGATATGCAGATTCATTTCTTGTTCGACCATTTTCCGGCAGCCCGCCGTTGTCGAGGTGTGCTCCCCATCCTTGCAGTGATGCATCTACGTAGAGGTGGGCGTTGCACTCCGGCTCTATTAAGTAATTTCCGCTGCAAACATTCGACTTCTGAGTCCACCATAGTAGGTATGGTTTTAGCCTGTCTGGTATTTGAAGGATCCAGACTGTGTAAGTGGCGTTCACAAATCTCTGTAGTGGGCGCAGTTGTAGTCTCCCTCTGTGCGTCATGTCTTGAGCTGGCGTGAGAGGAGACCTAATAGGCTCTGCCATTCTCGTAGTGGTAATGGGAGAGTAGAACTTGAGATACCATAACTTGTATCTAGACCCAGCGATCCTCTTAGGCGACCTTGTCATTCTGTGGTGAGATGAAACATCTTCCCAGAATCTGCTCATGTTCTATGTTGTAAGTAAGTAGACAGTGGAACCCTTGCCATGTCCGTAAAGGAAGGAAGCCGAAAGCGCGTCCGGATCTGGGACTGCCATCGTTGTGAAGTCTATATATAGTAGACTGGCTGCTGCGAGCAAAATTCGTCAAAGCGTATGTTGTTGCAATTAGCGGATAAACAGTCTTCAATCTGCTGACAGGGAAGGTCTCTAAATCCAGTAAGACAGTCAAATCACGCTGTATCCTGCTAACTGGACTGTAAATGAAGTCCTCCTCCCACGTTGAAATGTTGTTTACAATCTGTAGACAACTTCCAGACATGTGGCGATGTCCGACTTCTGCGCAGGGCGTTGTCTCTCATGGACCAATCAAAATGCAGTATTTTATTCCTTTCAGATTCCAGCGATGTGGCGTCACGGTGTTGCGGGAAAAAAGATCCTTGTAGAATCTTGTGCAGTCGTTGATTTCTTCATCAACACTTTTCGGCCTTGTCCGTAACCTCGAAGTTACACACGGTGACCCACGTGTATAGAGGGCTGAATGGTAAACGCGCGAAAGATTTCGCCGCGTAATACCGATGTAGGTAGACTGACTCCCTGGCTGCTGTGACTGTTCCTTCATTCCTGAAGATAATGCAGTCATCATCTTATACAGATGATCAGCTGAAATTCCATACTTGCTTAACGCTGTTACTTGTAGACTGTATTCATCGGTCTCAATGAAGCGTCGTAAAATACCCCCTTTGTGTTGAATACACAAAGGTGTTTGTAGAGTTGATACTTGCAACTTCAGTGTAAGATCTACAACGGGAGTCGCAGTTCACATCAATCTCTGGAGCCTTCATGAAGGGTTCTGTGTGAAGTAGTGGGAAATCCCTGGCTTGGACGTCGGGGATATGTTGACTGTGGAACTTCATAGCCTTACCAAGGCTGCGCTGAAATTCTCGGTAGTATCTATCAAGTCGTTAGCTCTGAACCGCGACGACTTGACTGCCTGAAGATCTGCCCGTAGGTGAATGATCTGTATATGGACATGAGTCCCTCCTGGATTCTTAAGAAACATCTTTAACCTTCATGAATGTGTAGGTTCTCAGCGTCGAGGAGAGTTTTTGTGCAGTTAATCCCACTACCCTCTTCTGATGTAGATATGTCTTTTTTGACGACCCTGAATCCTTTCTGGAGATCAGTCGCCTGAAGATCTGCCTGAAGACCTGCCTGAAGATCTGCATGATCGAGATGAGGGTCTCGTTGATAGCTCTTGACCTGGCTAGGCCGAAGAAGGTTCGTCTGGTTACTGTGTCTAACTGTGAGACAGGGTCGATAGGTGGAATCGTGAGTGTGTCTATATCATCATTCAACATCAAGTACGAGAGTGCTTCATTGGCCTCCTTAGAGGATGATGCGAGTTCCAAACCGTTGGCCATCCATGACTTGATTTCAGAGTTGGAAAAAAATAAAATAATTCCGCCGTCATCTTCCGATTTAGCAGTATCATGCTCTGAGGATTGATGTCTCCTAGTGTCTGGAGATCTGTAAGGCGATCTGTATGAAGATCTATGTGATGATCTGCGTGGTGATCTGTATGGAGACCTGCGTGGTGAGCTTTGTGGCGAACCTGCGTTGGAGGTGAACAGCTCTGTCGAGGGTTGGAGTCTTGTGACGAATCTCTGTGCCTTCCAGCGGGTGTAGATTCTCTTCTCCTTGGTAGCGAACCCTTGCGTGCGGGTTAAAGTTAATAATCGCATCTGAGGGTTGATGACAATCTGCGTGGGTTTGGCTGAGCGTCTTGTCCTTGAGTGTTAAGCGAGAGCGTAACTGGTGTAGGCTCTACGTTGGTAGGACTGCCAGACCTTTGTCGGGACGTTGTAGTCATGCTTGCGTGCAGGTTGCGTGGCGAGCGTCCATTATCTGGCGTCGATGGTGATCGTGGGGTTTGGCGAGCGTCTAGTCCTTCGCCCGAACGTAGTCGGGCAGGTTCCGCGTTGGTATGGCTGCCAGATATTACGATGCGGGCGCTGTAGTCGAGCTGGAATCTTCCTGTGCGCTCTGCAGGGCGTTGGTTCCCCAACGGGCGTGGTGTGCAACTCAGTTGATCTTCACTTTCGGGTTAAAATTACGCGCAAGCGGCGTCTTCGTCGCAGCTCTCGGCGTCGCGAACCGTTGTTCCATCAGATCCAACATCTGCTGGGTAAATTGCTGCATAAAGCCGGGTTGAAGGTCGTTGTCTGTTGTACTGGACGGCGCATCTGAGAGCGGATGAGGCTTCTTCGAAGAGCGTTGATCGCCGTGCGAGCGTCTGCGTTGAAAGGTTGTCCTGCTTCTGCGTGGTCACTGTAGAAGGCGTCTTCGTCTTCTTCTTAGATGTGATCTCAGGGATGAGGATGGGCGCTCATCGTAGACATCTACTTCTTCAGAGGGACGATCTCAGCTGAAAAGGACCTCGTTTTCTGCGTTGCCCCATGTGGAGACTTCAACGAAGTCTAGTTGTAGCTGACTTCTTCCTCTGGAAGATGATGCCCTAGTCTTCTTAGACTGCGAAGAGGAAGTATCAGATGTCGATGACCTCTTCCTCGAGCCAGCGTTGTCTATGGCGGCAACCTCCTCTGTAGAGAGCGACCCGGTAGACCACTGGAATGGTGCATCTGCTCAGACACCAACTGCGGTCCTCTGCAAAGCAGCGGTTTAGACATGTCGTGTAATTCTCGTCTGGACCTGTCCTTTGCACGTCTAGATAGATAATATGAATATTTGTAAAATGCAATATCAGACAGGTGAAAACACAACTGACAACGAGTGTCAGATAAACATATAGGCTTGCAATTAGGACATAGGTTATGCGGATCAACAGCAGACAGACGATACCTACAACAAGAACAAGATTTCATCAATTGTAAACAATGTGAATAATCACGTAAAAACGTGACAAAAACGGAGAAATTTGAGAATTAATTCCGTAGAATATTGTAGGTAAATGTTAACTAAAGCCTTATACAGCTAATTTAGAAGAAATGCCTAAATACTAAAAGGATATAAAGCTGTATAGGGTACCAGGTGCTCTCACAACCGCCCACTCGGGCGAATCAGGAGAGAGTGAAGAGCATGGGAGACAGGTGGCGGGAAGGGAGGTGACTCCTGGTAAGTGATTTTACATCCGCTTTTTTGAAGGGAGCTTCAAAAGGGGATTCAAGTGTTCCACTAGCATTTGGAAGGAAAGGGAGACAAGCAATAAGCATGAGTCAGGATAAGGAAAAATTTATGCTTTCAGTCATGTCAGCTCTGTATGGGAGCTAAATTCACACAAGATATCTGCAAGCCTAGTCATGGCACAATGATGCCATTATCCGTCACAGGTGACCCTGCCTTCAACTAAGGGAATCAACCTTGAATGAAGAATAGCTGTACCTTAGATCATTTGGACAACAATTCCCAAATTAATTCAAGATAATCATGATAATAGCAAAGATCCTGATTACAGCTGAATAGCCAAAGGAGTAAAGTGATAAAAACTAACACTGTGACAAATAATATCATCATGAGGATGTCTATACCTTTCTGTTTGTGCGTGTGGGTGAGGATGGAGAAGGACCAAGCTCTGTCGGCCCAGGGCTAGAGACATGCTTAGCGAGTTGCATGCAGTCTTCTAGTGTCTGGATAAACGTGTCACAGGTGGCCGTCAGTAGCGAAGTAGCTTCGTCTAGTTTCTTGAAATAAAGAAAAAAAATATATTTGAAACAATTATCTGTCCATCACCCATGATAGAATTTTCATTAGACAGGAGTCATGGAGATAGCTTACCTGTGTGTCCGCCTGGTCAGTCTTTACGGCTTGTTTGACAGAGTGGACCTGCTGCATGAGAAGGTCACAATAGAGACGCAGTTCCGACTTCTTGGAGCGAAGACTGCCAGGGGATACTTCATCAACTGGAACATGAACATGCTGACTTTACAACTTTAAAGACTGTAATGAAATCCAGACCATGTTTCAGATATTGTCAAGCTTTTTCAAGAAACATATCTCATCTGACATACCCTTTTACATGTATGTATAGGCTTCTATTCAATTCAGTCCCTGTTATGATGAGATAAGTCGTTTTGCACTGACACAGTTAAATAATCATGTATTATGTATCCTTACTAATTGAATACGTATTCCCCCACAGAGTATTGTTACATCAGTAGTATTTATGTCAACTCTTGATAAATCAACCTGCCACTGATATTGCTGATAGTTTGGCAACTGTCACCTTGGTACCACACCTGCCTAATACTTGCACATCCTGTAACAGGTACATCTTTTCCCACACATCATTATTATTAAACTTCTAATTTCTAGACTGCTTCTAACGTATCTGGTTCTGCAGCTGAGGTTCAGTAAGGGTGCCTCATGGCTGTATACAATAGTTACACCTGATGCATAACATGACAGTTACCTGAATCATGTGCAGCTCTTATACAGATGTTACACCTGATGCATAACATGACAGTTACCTGAATCATGTGCAGCTCTTATACAGATGTTACACCTGATGCATAACATGACAGTTACCTGAATCATGTGCAGCTCTTATACAGATGTTACACCTGATGCATGACATTACAGTTACCTGAATCATGTGCAGCTCTTGTACAGATGTTACACCTGATGCATAACATGATAGTTACCTGAACCATCTGCAGCTCTTATACAGATGTTACACCTGATGCATAACATTACAGTTACCTGAATCATGTGCAGCTCTTATACAGATGTTACACCTGATGCATGACATTACAGTTACCTGAATCATGTGCAGCTCTTATACAGATGTTACACCTGATGCATAACATGACAGTTACCTGAATCATGTGCAGCTCTTGTACAGATGTTACACCTGATGCATAACATGACAGTTACCTGAATCTGCAGCTCTTATACAGATGTTACAACTGATGCATAACATGATAGTTACCTGAACCATCTGCAGCTCTTATACAGATGTTACACCTGATGCATGACATTACAGTTACCTGAATCATGTGCAGCTCTTATACAGATGTTACACCTGATGCATAAAATGACAGTTACCTGAATCTGCAGCTCGATTACAGTTACCTTCGTCCACTGTTGTTGAGCATGGCCTTGGCACTGCCAAGAGCAACAAGCCATTCCTGTCTCTCTTTGGTTGTAGCGGCCTTTACATAATAGTGTTGTTCTCCATGAATGATTAAGTCAAGTCGGGCAGCATCAGTTGGATGGACTGAAAGCATTTATTCCAATCCTAGTAACAAGACTACGGTCAAGAATGAAGTGATGAGAGATAGAAAGTTGGTGTCTATTCTTAGGGCTGGTACATGTTTCGACAAAACAATCATGAATGGTAACAACAGAAAAATATTAGCTACTTGTAATTAGCTCCATGCCAAAGGTTTCCAACCATGCCTTCAGTAGCCAATATGCAAACTTTAACTTCAAATACTTATGGTATTTGTTAACTTGGGAATAAATTCAAACAAAGACTTAGTTATTGAACATGCTAAAGTCAACTCACCAACTATGTCACATACAGTCATCTTGATCGAACCTTTACAGCCATTGTTGACATCCTCTTGTGATTTGTAGTAGGAAAGAACACCATTGTCCAGGACAAACCAACGAGGCTGCCAACCTGAAAAATATAGTAGCAGTCAGGACACCGCTTCAGCACAACCACTGGGCATTTTAATGCTAACCTAATGCTAACGCAATGACACATGTGAAGGGTCTGGATTAGAATTGGTCTTTAGCAATCCATGCTTGTCGCAAGTGGTGACTAATGGAATTGGCTTGCTGACTTGGTTGATCCATATCACTGTATCCAAATTGCATAGAAGCATGCTCGTGATGTTAATCACTAGATTGTCTGGTCCAGACTCAACACATTACAGATCGCTGTCATGTAGCTGGATGGAATATTACTGAGTGCAATATTCCATCCAGCTACACTCAACAATATTCCATCCAGCTACACTCAACAATATTCCATCCAGCTACACTCGACAATATTCCATCCAGCTACACTCGCCAATATTCCATCCAGCTACACTCAGCAATATTCCATCCAGCTACACTCACTCGACAATATTCCATCCAGCTACACTCAGCAATATTCCATCCAGCTACACTCGACAATATCCATCCATCCAGCTACACTCAGCAACAATATTCCCATTCCATCCAGCTACACCTTCAACAATATTCCATCCAGCTAGCTCCACACTCAGCAATATTCCATTATGGGGTTTTCATATAAATACACTTTCGACAATATTCCATCCAGCTACACTGTGAACAGTGGAGCAATATCCCATCCAGCTACACTGAGATTAAAACATAATGCTAATGTAATAAAATTAGATAATTAAGGATTGTGGGGGTTTTCATATAAATATACCATAGCAGTAAAACTGTGGGGCATGGTCTATGACATCTTAATTTCCAGGACTGATACATAAATATTTTGTGTTATTGCAATGATGCTCCAATCTTTTTCTGCAAACCCAGCATCAACATGATCTGACAACAAAAACGTTAACTGGTATTAATCATGTTTGTTGCAAGGATATCTGTTTTGTCTTCCATGAGCAACATGAACAAATAAATGATCTTTAAAAAGATTTGTTGTATGTTGCAGAGGTGAGAAAAGTAAATAAATTGCAACAAATTCCTTACTAAAATGATAGAAAGTACAAAGAAGTGATTTTCCTTATCTGCATATGTATTGATTCTTATAGGTTGTCCTTATGAATAGATTTTCCCTAATATATCTGATCCATTGTTCAGTAACCTCAAATGCCATGGTAACTCTGTGTTTTAGTTAGATTTGATTTCACATTAGTAAATATCACAATAAGCTTTGAAAACCAAGGATTTATCAAAATACCAAACAATGTCCCCTTGGCAGGATAATAAGAAAAAAGTAATCATTTTGTTCAAAATGTGCATGTTTGCGTAAAATGAATATTTTCTTAAAATGAGATATCATCACATTGCATCAAAAATGTAAAGCTAAGCATAAAAGAGTCTTCCTCTTTTAAAGTCCTGTTAACAATGTAATATAAGTCACCTTTTTCTGTTGTTTACATCATTTGATATTCTGTGAACTTATCAAACCATATTAACTGTGACTGACTCAGGGATTGAGTCCTATTACAAATAGCAGCATCCAGGATACTGATGTCAGCATTTTCAGCGTTATCAACAGAAACTGATAACCTTCTATTTTCCTTAGTAACTGATAAATCCATTTGTGATAACCTATTCTACATTCACTGCACATATACCATTATCATTGTTATGTGCAATAAACATATAACCAGTATCACTATGAATATAAAGCTCATCAGCTGTTTAGCAACACACACACACACACACACACACACTGTATTCTCATAATAATTTTATGATTTCCAAATTACCATGATACCACTTGTTTCCTGGGTAACAATAATATCAACATAGTACTTGGTGACACTATACTATGTATACAATGTATCAGTCACAATATGGCTGAAATATCATTGATGTGAGCTATTAATTTACTCACTATGCATTCATCATGTTCATGTTGCCACAGTAACCAAGTTTACAGCTGGGACCCATCATATATGAAATATGTCTTTAACACGTTAACTGAATACTGACTGCAGTGATAGATATTTGCAAACTGCCAGCTAGTTTTTCCAACAGCACCCTTATTACTTCCTCATATTATAATTGCACCTTTAGATAGCAAAATTTCAGGCATTTTAGGGTTCCTTGATATCATTGTAAGTTTTAGTATTTTACATGTTTATGCATTATTCTTATACAACAGGACTGAGATAACATACATTTCACCATGCAATATTTCTAGATAACAGTGGTTGCAACAAAAAGACAGAAAAAAAGAAGAAAACTAAACAAAACCATAATATTTCAAGGATGTCAAATAACCATGATAATATGACCCTAATCAAGACGGTGTGCACCTATGTCTTTTCAAACAAGGCGGAATGATGAGTCTCATATTATTGCAATAACGTCTTTCTTTTCAAAACAGACAGTAGGGAAAGAAATTCCTGTTTTTCAAGAAAGACATGAGGCAACTGAATGAATTTTAGGCGTTTCTGTTGGAATAAACATTGGTAAACTTTGTGAATCCATACAAAGTTTGAACCAAGACAAGAAAATATGCAGGTCTAAAATTAAATGGTTGACCCCTTTTTTCACTGAGATATATCCTACATATTTCCAAATATTATCACCAACAGACTTTTTTTGCAACTTTTTGTTTGTACATCAAGAAAGTTATCACATACAAATTGAATCACACTTACTATGTATTTTCTTTAGATAATACAGAACAACTCTCTGCATAACATATTTCAATGGCATTTAGAAGCTGGTATGATGAAGAGGAATGAATAGATACAATGTTTTGGTGTAGATGCTAACCCGGTTATCGCATGCTTGATAACGGTGTTAGCATCTGCACCAAATTGTTGCATCTATTGCAATAAAGAAATTGTCTACACATAAACAATGTTCCTTTTTAACACTCAGCATCTTTGAATCAAAGCCACCTATACCTATACCACTGTGTTACAAGCTCTTCTTATGATAAACTTTCACTACTGAAGTCTCCGGTTTAGAATTCATCTTTAGTAACCCATGCGTTTTGGAAGGGCAACTAACAGGATCAGGTGGTCAGGCTCGCTGACTTGGTTGACACATGTCATCATATCCCAATTGTGTAGATCGATGCTGATGTTGTTGATGACTGGATCATCTGGTCCAGACTCGATGACTTACAGACGGCCGGCATATAGCTGGAATATTGCAGCGTGCAGCATAAAACTAAACTCACTCACTACTGAAGTCATATTCACAGACTGCCTGATAGTTCAATAATTAGTGAAACGATATATGAGAAATGAATCTGCACTCATTGTTGAATCTTATTAAACATAATCTCTGAAGTGAGAATAGAAGTTGCATAACAACCTCATCACATCATGACACTTGTCTGCTTGTCCCTATAAAGTAATGACAGTATTTTATAGCTTGGCAACCAGTTTTGTTGAGTAAGTTATCAGTCAGCCAGTACTGTGTTTCGACAACAAGCAAATGATGCTTGGATGCTTGGTAAATAGAAATTCAGTAACATAGCCATTACTACTGACTGACTGAGTTTGGTTTTACGCCGCTTTTAGCAATATTCCAGCAACATCACGGCGGGGGACACCAGAAATGGGCTTCACACATTGTACCCATGTGGGGATTTAGCCATTACTAAAGGAAAGCTACTACCATCAATCCTTGCCTCAGATCACATGAAATTGGAAGATGCACAAAATTTCCCTGTCGCACGTGGATAGCATTTCATATTCTTTTCAAGTTTCTCAGGGACCCTTTATCAGTTTAAGTGCATATGGAATATGCAAATAGCTACATTTGAGCGACATACTAAAATAAACCTAAATTCATATTGAAGACTATCACACAAAACCGGCGTAAAAAGTAAAATCCGAAATCAGGATTTGACAGTCACACGGGGATATTTAGCAAAATATGACCCCGTCTCGTTGAAGAAAGAGAAAGAGAAAACTGGTTGTTTGCGATAGAGATGTCATCGCTTCAGAAAAAAGCGAAAGGTTTTATAATAAGGGAACATGTCTCGTTTCTTACCCGATAAATAATTTGTCCACTTCCATAACACACCTTCCATATTTGTTGTCAAACGTCAACATGTAAAGCTAATCATAATGCTCTGTTTCGTACCACACTTAGCATATGAATTGAGGTTGGTAAAATTTAAATTGTCAACAGAGAACATAGGTACATGGGGATGATATGATTAATAGATCTTATTACATTCAATGACCAAAGCAGAGAGGTATTATTTCTCAGTTGCGCTACTCAAGCTACGCCACGCGTAAGCTGGTTACAGTCTCCATATGCGCGTCGTCAGTTTGCGCCAACATTCTCCGGCACAGCTAGTGATGACTTTGATGCGCACGACTGGCCTCGTAGAGTAGGGCAGAGAGGCCACTAAATTTACACTACGTTTTATTAGACTGTTTTGTCTAACTATTTCAGATTATTTTAGCGCAGGCGCTCCTCGCCTTACAGTCGCTAGCAGGCGATGGACAGGTTACCGGTCTACTAAAACATGGGGATATGAGAGACGGACCCCAGCTTACTTTGACAGGCTGACAAACTCTTTCCCACTGAAACATGACAAAAAATCTGAAAAATATAAAGCATTCATTTCTGGTAACTTTTTAATATAATGTAATGCCTTCTGTCCCGTTCATTTATTTGTCCTTTGACATAGCTTGAATCGACTTTTCAGTTTGTCACTGTTCGTCTAGCTATTGCAATAAAACTTTACTGTGAAGATGGTGTCCTCCCATTTGTGAGAACTCCCGGTTGTGAGAAAAAAAACCCCAATCGTATGAAGATACCAGACCTATAATAAAATAATAGCTTTTCACTTGCAATACATATCGCAATATATGCTTTCGCATCGCATATGAAAATTCTCTGCAATACCCATGCATTCCTTGCCTGTTGTTTATAAAACATTATCTTTGAATAAATAATATGGAATCCTTGGAGGTTGACAGGACTCTTCTCCATTCCGCTTTTACCGGGATAGCACGAAGTGTTTGGAAGGCCTTTTTAAAAACTCGTTCTGCCACCCCACCCCCACCGAAAAAATTAACAACAAAACAAACAAAAACAAGACAACAACAAAACAAAACAAATAAAAAAACCCAAAACACACACAAAACAACCAAAAACACACAAACCCCCAAAACAAAAAAAAACACCAAAACAAACAAACCCAAAAACCAAACGAACCAAAATGCAGAAATGTAAGGTTAACGTGTATGTAAATTAATTCATGACCAAGAGGTGTCATTCTGCATTCCCGAATACAAGCGAACACTTTCCGAATCCGGGCGGACAAAATTCAAGTTCTGAAGAATGTTGTGACAGAGAAATAGCTATGCGTGTCATTATTACCTCCCTTTGAACAGAAGTTGATGTCTTCTTATATTTTATATGTAACCGAAAGGCGAGAAGCGAAGCATGATACAAAACGAGTATGTACCATTGGCGGCTCCAGAGGGGGGTGGTTTGACCCCACCCCCTTTGAAAATGACTTTGCTTTGGTTCAGGGGCGAAAATGAGCCATTGAAGAGTTGGGGTTCCAGGGGTTGGAACCCCTGAATCCCCTTCTTTAAAATTCCTGCATCCGCCCATGTGTACCACTGCGGTGTGGCGCCTCGAACTGTTGTTCGAATTCTGTATTTGGAGACAATAAGAGATCAGCACCTTTTGTGTAACTTTTCTAAATAAAAGTATAGCCTCCCTGACGTTATACATTGATATTGGCTAGATCTGGATTTTATTGATTATTTATCACCCGTGAAGATCCGGGTTAGAATTTACCTTCGGTAACCCGTCAGTAACTCTAAAGTACCATTTAGTAAAGTAATAACCTTAATGACCGGTTAACAGCGATTAGAGTATGTGACAGCGCAGCGAGGTGCATCACAAGTCCTCTTTGACGGTTTCTTGTACAACAAGTCTACGACACGACATACAGTATTTGCCATCACTGGAGATGCATTGTTAAGACCCGCAAGGGAAAATGCACTACAGTTGGGGATTTAGTCAGGAATGTTACCCACCACCTATTGTTCTAGGTGGACTAATCACTGAAGCGGAATAATCCGCTAGACAATAGATGTCTCTAAATTTTGCTCCCCGTGAAATAAGCCCCCAACTGTGATTCCCACAAGGTGTGACAAATACAAATACAAAACAATTATCAATTTATTCGCTTGTTCAATGCTGTACAAATAACATGTTTCGACACGTAACATATTCTCTGCTACCGTTCCAAATAGACATATTCTCTCAGATGATACAACATCAATCGAAATGGACATTCTCGCAGATAATACAACATTACTGTCATTCAAAATTTACATATTAAATGTATCATAGCCACTGTCGGTCATCATCACTACTTGACAATAATTACACAGTTAAATGGGAATCTGTGTCACAATATGCATAAACATATATGTTGCCAGCCAAAAACTGCTGTTTAAGATTACACAATCGTGCATTCAAATGTACATATTTAATCTTCTTGCGTAGAAGTTTGGCACCGCCCCTTAGCTGCATACATGATGCCTCAACATAGGATTGCTCTCTCTTTAGGAAGTCAATGATTGTAAAGATGTTGGGGTGATTCTCGACAGTTTTCTGTGCCACCCTTCTACATGATTTGTGGCCCGGGGGCCCTCAGTGGTGAAGTGGTTCCACATGGTTCTACCATGGTCACCTTCCACCTAGACTAACAACTAGTCTCTGAAATGAACATATTTTACTGAAAAAAGTTCATAGTAAATAAATATAAAATATAATGAAAAGGAGCCCTGAGACCTTCTTCATTTTCCTGAAGCTGAGGAAATCTAGACTTGCCACATTTTCTAGACTTGTGTGGGCTTTCTTGGATATATTTGCTTCAGGGTCTGTACGAGAGACTACCTTCCACCCAGTATGAGGTTACATAGTCAGAGAATCGTTCAACATTATATCCAGGAGGAGCATCATCTAGGGCCTGCCATTACACATCGCTCACACGGGGCACCCGTGAAGAGCCACCTCCTCGTGGTGGGTGCTGGGTAACGTTAAGAGCTCTTCAGCCCCCCCGTTGTGGACCCGGGGGTATATTTGGTCCACCGACCCGTTTGCCGTGCATGGGAATTAAAATCACCCAATGTCGATACCACTCTCACAAAAGAAGTGCCTAAAAGTGAGAACCCAATGTTGCTACGAAGCATTGCGCTTAGTAGGATTGACTCACTTTACGAAGACTCGGCTCACATATATACTGACGGATCCAAGGATCCTGTGAGAAATAGAACCGCCTATGGTATCCAGATATACACAGCCTCCAACAACCAATCCATCTCGGTCCGCCTCCCTGACGGACAGTCAGTCTACACAGCGGAGCTAGAAGCCATACACCATGCACTAAGGTACAGTGAAAACCTTAGAGAGAAAGGAGTGGTCATCCTCTCTCTGACTCTCTCAGTGCACTACAGTCACTGGCAACTAAGCATTCGAGCAGTAGACCTGACACCATCCGAGACATTTTGGTTCTCATTCAGAAACTAAGAAGGGAAAATGAGAAAAAAAGATAACACTGTGCTGGATACCATCTCACATAGACATTCCCGGTAATGAGAGCCGACAAACTAGCTAAACAGGCGCTAGAATTGGACGTGTCACTGGATCATCCTTACTCAAAAAGCGAAATTCGAAGTATGATCCAAGGTTCGATCACTAGCAAGTAGCAGAGGCAATGGGACACCTCAGACAAAGGCAGATGGTATCATGGACTCCGCCCCAATGTGAAAGGGATGCGAACTACTCCCTCACAAAACAGGCGAGTCGACATCATGATCACCTGCCCGCCTAAGACTAGGTACCACCAAAACCTCTCATATAAGAAATGTCAAACATGCCACACCAAAGCTACAGTCCCTCACATTATGCTGGATTGCCAACGGTTTGACACAACCAGGCAAACACTCAGAGAGGAAACAGGGCTAGGTACATTGACAGCCAAGCGGCTGCTGGCTCCCACGGAGCACCTTGCAATGTACAGACAGCTAGCCAATTTCCTCTTGGAAAGTGAACTATGTCAGTATATTTAAAAACAAATTTTATCAATCAAGCCAGTCTTCAGTTTGTCCGAGGGCGCCAAGGAGATTATACCACCCAAGCTCCTGACCTCATAGGACCAGCCCAGCCAGGACACGCCGGTCGCACAGCCTGTCATCATGCCCGGTCGCCAGACTGGCACGCCAGTCCACCATGCGTCCCAAAGAGGGACAACACATGCGTCCCAACGAGGGTCTTGAAACAGGGAGTGGCCGTGTCCACCCCCTAGGGAAACAGCAGGGGAGCGGCCGTGTCCGCTCCCCAGGGTGAGTGAGCTGAATGAGAGCAAGGGAGTGGCCATGTCCACCTTCCAAGGTGAGAGCAAGGAATGGCCATGTCCGCTCCCCAGAGTGAAACAAGGAGTGAAAGCGGGGGAGTGGCCGTGTCTGCTCCCCAGAGTGATAGTAGTGACAGCAGGGGAGCGGCCGTGTCTGCTCCCCAGAGTGAGAGTAAGGGAGCGGCCGTGCCTGCCCCAGAGTGACAGCAGGGGAGCGGCCGTGTCTGCTCCCCAGAGTGAGAGTAAGGGAGCAGCCGTGACTGCCCCAAGAGTGAAAGGAGTGAAAGCGGGGGAGTGGCCGTGTCTGCTCCCCAGAGTGATAGTAGTGACAGCAGGGGAGCGGCCGTGTCTGCTCCCCAGAGTGAGAGTAAGGGAGCGGCCGTGCCTGCCCCAAGAGTGACAGCAGGGGAGCGGCCGTGTCTGCTCCCCAGAGTGTGAGGAGGGGAGTGGCCGTGTCCACCACCCCCAAAAAAAAAAAAAAAAAAAAATATATATATATATATATATAGTGTATGTTCACACAACACTCGTGTACTTACACCCACGCGTCCCAAAGAGGGACAAACCATGCGACCCAAAGAGAGTCAACACAAGCTGGGACAGCAATGTCCAGCCATGCGTCCCGAGGTGGGACAGACCAGCCCCAAGCGTCCCAAGGAGGGACACTCCAGCCCAGGCCCAAGAGTCCCAAGGAGGGACACTCCGACCCAAGCGCCCAAGGAGAGACGCCCACACCCAACGCCACCAAGACAACCCGGTCCAGCCCCAAGAGTCCCAAGGAGGGACACCGCCACCACACCCACGAGTCCCAAGGAGGGACACCCCACGCATCCCAAGGAGGGATAGGTCTGCCGACATGCCAACCGGCGAAGGCGACCTCAAAAGCATCAAACACAACAACATTTGCCGTGGGTTGC